CCTGAGGTGAATATGGGCCCTGGAGGACTCACAGTTACTGCAACGTTATCGGGTCCAACTAAAACACATGTATTAAAAAACACAAAGAACAAACTCAGCTACAAAATTTTGGAGACACTGTATGAAAATATATCTGCACTAGTGATCAATCAGGTAAATTAATGCAAATATGGGTGGGTAGGTAGGTAGTTACACTATACTGGGCCCCATGAAGAAATTACTTTAAATTTCATTCAAATTTAATTAGCACACTTATAGTGTAATGTAATCAGCTGCTGAATAATAAACAATGCTAAAAACTTCACTAAGAAGAAAAGCAGACTAATAGCATATTTACTGTTAGAGCAGTTGAGTTATGGGGAATTTGAGCAAAGCAAGCTTAAAATAATCAAACAAATTCTTGTAAAGCATTGACGACTTATCAGTGAGTTATATGTACAGCATATACAGTCATGTGAAAAAGAAAGTACACCCTCTGTCAGTTCTAAAGATTTACATATCAGGACATAAAAGAACATGTGGTCCTTTGCAAGTCATAAAATTAGATAAACAGAAACTGAATATATTGAGTATATAAATAAAAACACATGGGTGAGTATAATTAAGGTCACCCTTACTGCTTCCATAGGGATTTAGAGGGTAAGTAGCAGCCTGGTGCTGCTAATCAAATGCAGCAAGTATGACCACCTCTATAAAAGTTTTGGCAGTTTGCTGGTCTGGAGCAATCAGGTGTGTTACCACAATGCCAAGGAGGAAAGACATCAGCAATGATCTTAGAGAAGCAATTGCTGCTGCCCATCAATGTGGGGAGGGATATAAGGCCATTTCTATACAATGTGAAGTCCATCATTCTACAGTGAGAAAGATTATTCACAAGTGGAAAACATTCAAGACAGTTGCCAATCATCCCAGGAGTGGACGTTCCAGGAAATTCACCCCAAGGTCAGACCGTGCAATACTGCAAAAAACCCAAGAGCAACATCTCAGACTCTACAGGCCTCAGTTAGCAAGTTAAATGGTAAAGTTCATGACAGTACAACTAGAAAAAGACTGAACAAGTATAACTTGTTTGGAAGGGTTGCCAGGAGAAAGCTTCTTCTCTCTAAAAAGAACATGGCAGCATGGCTTAGGTTTGCGAAGTTGCATTTGAACAAACTACATGACTTCTGGAACAATGTCCTTTGGACAGATGGGACCAAAGTGGAGATGTTT